CCGCTCTGCACATTTTGTATGTGTCTCTTGTCACTTCAGATGTTTGTTCTATTCGACTGTAAGTGCCCTGCGTAGTGGACATCACAGGATATTCTGCCATGCTTCCAGTTTGAAGGGAGCGTATATGTTGCATTCAAAGGACATTAAAGAGTGCGAGACGTGGATTTAAACTGTATTTATTTACAGAGGTATATTATGTCACACTACTCTAGTAAGTTTCATCTGTGTGTGAAGACGCTGCAGGCCGTGGCGTAGCACAAATCTTCAACAGATTTCCCGTGCTCGGGGAGTAGGGAGCAGTGAACACTGTGTAGGGATCATGTCAATCAGAACACAGTTCATGCATGGAGCTCTCTTCTAATGAGCTGCTGATCTGAATCACGTATGTTAAATAAGAGAGACATGCAAAATATGCAGAGCAGTGGCACACGAGGACTGGAATTGAGAACCACTGCTCTAGAGCAGTTCCCAACACTGGTCCTGGAGGCACCCCAACACTGCACGTTTTTTCATGTCTCCTTAATCAAACACAGCTGATTCAGGTCATCAGCTCATTAGTAGAGACTCCAAGACCTGAAATCGGTGTGTCAGAGAAAGGAGACATGAAGAATGTGTAGTGTTGGGGTGCCTCCAGAACCAGGGATAGGGACCACTGCTCTAGACCAGCTTAAACCATCCATCAGGTTTTATATATATATATATATATATTATATAATTAGTTGGCTTTAGTTTTTTCTTTTATATATATTTTTTTCTTCTTTAACTATTTCTTCTTTTTTTTTTTTTTTTATAAATTTCCAGTTTATTTTTAGTATTATATTAGATTCAGTATTATAAAGAATAATACATTTTCCTTTCTTTAATGATTATTATTATTATTAGTAGTAATAGTAATAGTAGTATTTTAATACCTGGATGTTCTGGATGTTTTTTTTTTATGTAGTTCAGATTTTAGCTTCTGTGGACGATTGTTAATTCAGCCAAATTAATCAGTTAATGATAAAAAAAAAATGTCTTAAAGGTTCATTCATTTTTATATCAAGTTTAAATGTGACTTTTCACAAAAGTAAAATTATTTGCTGTCAGAAAAAAAAAGAAACATTAACCAGCTTCCTGTATGTTTTATGCATAATTTGGGATACAGCATAAAAATGCTGATGAAAACATGAAATGAAATTAAATAAATAAAACATATTAATCCAATTAATAAATACAATTGCATGAGTTTTATTTTTAAATATACTATGTATAAAAACCTGGAATTAAAAATATATGTTATTTTATTTAGTTTTTAGTTTTGGAGCCATGGAAATGTACAGTATTTTAGTTTCAGTTTTATTTATTTTAGGTTTCTTTTTACATTCAGCTTGTTCATTTTAGATTTAGTTAAACATAATAACCTTGATCTTGACAAATTCCAAGTCAAATCCCTTAAAAAAACAAATATTCCTAAAAGAACATTCTGGGAGTTTACTTCCTAAACCTTTAAAGGTTTCTTGTTCTTTTGCTGAAGGTGACATTTTAAACTTTAATGTGCCACTTCAAGAAAATAGAATTCAGTTATTTATGTATGATGGGGCTAGTTGTCCTCTGGCATTACTTTCCCCAGTCCTTCTTGTTGCAGGCATGGCTGCTCATGAGCGGCCTCAGAGAATTCCCACGGGCCGCTGGCCATAGGACTGGAACCAAATATGAAAGTCACCTCTCAGGTCAAAGTGACATCTCCAATCCTTCAGTTCAGGGCCATGCAGTTCAGCCTGGGTGCATGGTAAGGGAACGTGTGCTTTCCCTTCCAGAATGGCATAGATAAAGTAAGGCAGAATTGTTCTATGATTTTTTGATTTACTTTAAGCCATTTCTTTAATATTTTCCTCATTCCCAAACCATATAGTTAAAAAATCATCAGTGACGTTATTAAAAATATGCAAAATCAGCTGCTGGTCACAGACTGGATAATAGAACAACAACATTAGCAAAGCAATTGGGACACAGCCTTATATATAGATAAATATATTTAGTTGAAAAAAAAAAAAAGCTAAAGAAATCCTTGCAATTCATTACAATAAATAAATATATACAATTTTAATCGTTTATTATTATTATTATTATTATTTATTTATTTTTGCATATTTGGCTAATTTGAGTCATGTCAATTAGTTTACTTAATATGAAGAAAACCCACACTAGGTTTAAAAAACAAAACAAAACTGAAAAATCCATGTAATTATTTATTGTTCAGCAATCCTGACATTTACCCACATTGCGATAACATTTAAGACAAAAGATGTCGATTCAGCCATGTATTTGGGTGCGATTGGTGTAAAAACTTTAATTAGCTTAAAATCACAAAGGAAAATTCTAAAGGTTATCTTGTATTTTGTTTGAAAAAACAAAACAAAACAATATATATATAATAAATATTCGGTTAACATTTGTCTTATGAAGCCCCCAAATCTTAGGAAGGATATAAGAAGAATCAGCCAGTTTAATTTAATAAACCCCTGATGTGTTAAATTATGACTGGCAAAATACATAAAAGAAGAATAGAGTAAGATAATGAATTACAGCAATAGAAAAGAAAGTAAAGTGGGTGCTATATTTCTGCAATTTGTCATATCTCAGCTTCACTAGTCATAGCTAGTGAACCCAATTAAAAAGACAAAGACTTCCTAACTGCCATAAAGCTGTGAGAATGCATTCATCTCATTTTTCCAGACTATCTCTGTCACCATTCAGTCTCAGCTGTGAGCTGCCGAACGTCAAACATGTCGAGGGAATGACGATTGATGTGACGTCCGGGTCAATAAGGGTTTTTCCTTGTATGGTAGCACAGATCCGGTCTGTAATACAGCTTTTCGTTAGCATTCCCAGTCCTACACGCAGTCATTTTGCTCATGGTTCAGTTTCTTGAAGATGAGGATCCACACTAAATGTAAAATCTCACATTAAAGAGATAGTTCACCCAAAAAAATTATAATTCCTCATGTCGTTCTAAACCCGTAAGACCTTAAATGTAAGATATTTTTGATCAAATTCAAAAGCTTTCTGACTCTCCATCGTCAGCAAATCTACTGAAACGTTTTATGGCCCAGAAAGGAAGTATGGACATTGTTAAAATAGTCCATGTGACATCAGTGGTTCAACCTTAATTTTAGGAAGCTACGAGAATACTTTTTGTGCGCAAAGAAAACAAAAATAACAGTCCTTAGTCTTTAATCATGCAAATTATGCCATTTTCATGCAAGGTTTAAATTTAATGTCATGTGGTGTAACCATTAAATAAAAAGAAATACATTTGTTTCTTACACCTTGTTTACATACGAGTGTACACCTCTTAATCATTATTTTCAATAATGTTTCTAAATACATTTTTCAAGGTAAAAATATATTTTGACAAATATCATGAATTATTAACTAATGAATATCGTGACATTTTTGGGAAGTCACACCGCATGACATTTACATCCTGAACTAACCTTGCCTTGTCATACAAATCCAACACAATTTAATTAAGAAAACATTTTGTGCCGATCACACAAAACATACAAATTAATAATACAATTTTATTTACTTTTTTTGTGCATGTTGGTTTCACCACATGATTTTGTGGGCCCCACCACTTCACTTAAAAACTTTTTAAATATTAATAAGCAGTTTAATATTTTAAATACTTTTGTCCGCCAGATCAAAGTCATGTGCATCACCTAGTGATGGGAAGTTCGGATCATTTTACTGACTAACATTTCATTCATTTCAGCAGAATATAATTAAAATGTTACATGTTAATATCCAAATTCCCCAACACATCTATTTACTCAAACATTGATCACATTATATAAATTATAATGCAACCAAGCCCAAATTATAAGAAACAGAAATGATTAATTCATTGCTGGCTGTGCGGTCTGTTCACCTCACCTCCTGAGTCTTCGGTCGTTCGTACTTTTGTCACGTCACATCCCTGTAAAGCTGTAAAGGTAAATCCCTGTAAAGGTAAAGCTGTGCAGTCTTTACAGGAAAGAGAAATGATTAGTTCACCTCTCGAGTCTTCGGATCCGAGTCGTTCGTTCTTTTGTCATGTGACCGCTTCTCAGATCAGATCTTGAAATGTTGTGATATATAAAACTGATTTTTCCCATCATACGGATACATTTTAAAGCATTAACCAACTCTTTATTACCCCACTCATTATGGAAAAGAACCATCACATAAATTCACAAATTTATAAATTGTAAGAAATAAAAAGCTATAAAACTCAAATAAAATGATTTGAGACTAGAAAAAATACGTAACTGTAAGAGTAAAGAAACAAACTACGCGCTTGTTTGTAAGGAAGGTTGGGAATTATTAATAAATTTCTGTAATTTCCATTGCTGCTCTCACGTCACGTAACAAAAGAATGAACGACTCGAACCTGAAGACTCGAGAAGTGAACTAATAATTTCTGTTTTCTGTACAGAACCTATTGGATGTTGCGCATGCGCGGTCAACACAAAATGAACGAATCCCTTGCTGAGACAACTCGTCGTTCCCGTGTCATATTAAAGATTCGTTCATAATGAATGAATCGTCTAAGAACGACCCATCACTGCGAACCACAAAATCATGTAGCATGAAAGGAGATTTGTTAAATTAAATAATAAAATAAAATAAAAAAATACAATTTTATATATATATATATATATATATATATATATCGCTTATTAAAGAATTAGGACAAAAAAAGATCTTCATATCGACGCAGATGTCACATTAACAATATGAGATCTTTGTAAGAATTAGTTCATAAGAGGCAAAAACTGTCCAATCCAAAACCGTACCCCTCCTGAGCAGAGCTAGAAAAAGATCTCATAAAAATACTAGACTCAACAGGCGAGATAAAGCTGATTGTGGCTCCATTCCCAGACTCATCTCCACCAATCAGAGGGAAGATGATTGAGCCTGATTAGCCACAATCAAAGCTGGAGCTCAACCCTGACTGTCTGCTGACTTTGCAATCGATGTCTGGCTGACTCGACCAGCAAATTTGGGCCTGAACAGCATTGAGATACTATCGCCCTCCTACTTCCACAAGCTCTAATGCCTCCGTAGAAGAGCATGGCATTTCTGGACTCACCCGGGAAGCCTAAGCATCTCCCTTCAGCTGGATGCATCCCAGCAGAGACTGCAAATGGATCTAAAGAGGAATAATTCGGAATTGGCTTCTCTCGTGGGGTTTTCTTGTCAGGGCTAAAATAGCCTGACTTTTTTTTAATCAATGGCCTGACTGCAATGATAACAGGATTAGGGGACCCGATCCAACCGAGTGTGGGCTGGACAGGTTTTGAGAGGTGCTACAATGCCTGGAAAGGCCAGGACGTACAAATAATGAAGAGGAGAAAGGTCAGTGGTAAACACAATGGTTCACGTCACTCAACAACCTTCAGTGGACAAACAGCAGGAAGCTGATGTCTTCATAAAAAGATGGATTTCCGTCCATCCTCAAAAACAAGATGTTAATCAGGTATGTGGTCAGATCTTCAGAGATAATTTATTGCTGTTCATCCAATCAAAATGTTGCATCCGACTATATTTTTCTATCAAGTCATTTTCAGTCCTAATTCTGCAGTTATGTTTGTATTTACAGTCTTTCCTGTTGATTTGCTAAATGCTTGTCAATACAGGAGTAAAGGCTGATTCGTAAGGAGGCACTGAACCGCGAGGTGAAGAATAATGTAAGTGTCTTAATCGATTCTAGAGTCTACTTCCTCCAAAAAATATTTTTCTCTGTAATTTTTGTTGACTTATTTTTTTTCTCCTTTAAAAAAAAAAGATCAAGCATCAACTGAAAAGGACGGAAAAAAGCTCGCTAGCTAACAATCAGCATCCAGTGCCATCCTTACCTCAGCCACCAGCTTCCCTAACCCATAAATAACAGACAAAGAAATTAGGACAACATTTTTTTAACCGAAAAAAAGGATATTTATTGTAAATGCTTGGGAAAGAGCGTCCAGCTACATTGTTCACAATTTATCTTTTTGTGTTTCATCAGAAGAAAGTCAGATGTGTTTGGGACGACACTAGGGTAAGTAAATGATGACAATTTCTGATTTCATATTTTTGGGGGAACTATTCCTTTCAGAGTTTGTCAGAAGAAGAGCTACGGTATCTGTGTATTTGACTATATGCAGTGTACTGTATTATTGAAATATTAGAGAGCAGAAACCTCTAGACTAACGAAAATAGGCTTTCCATGTAATAAAATTATCCGCTTCTTTTATTTTAAACATATTAGAAGTATAAGACACAACATTTTTTTTAACCGAAAAAAAGGATATTTATTGTAAATGCTTGGGAAAGAGCATCCAGCTACATTGTTCACAATTTATCTTTTTGTGTTTCATCAGAAGAAAGTCAGATGTGTTTGGGACGACACTAGGGTAAGTAAATGATGACAATTTCTGATTTCATATTTTTGGGGGAACTATTCCTTTCAGAGTTTGTCAGAAGAAGAGCTACGGTATCTGTGTATTTGACTATATGCAGTGTACTGTATTATTGAAATATTAGAGAGCAGAAACCTCTAGACTAACGAAAATAGGCTTTCCATGTAATAAAATTATCCGCTTCTTTTATTTTAAACATATTAGAAGTATAAGACAAAATAAAGCCGATGAGCTCTGAGCACCTAGATATGAAACCCTCCATCTCCTGTGGCACAGAAATCATAAAGATAATGAAAGTAAAAATTCCACCACTCCATTCCATCCATCCATCCATATGTCTATTCTATGTCTATCTGTCTCTCTTAACATTGTATAGACCTTGTATACAGTTTTGAATGTACAAAAGCCAAACAGCCTTGAAGGCATTTAAGTATTTATATCCGTCAACTTTTAGACGAGGCTTGTCAAACAAACAACAGTTTGTCTTGATGAACCTTACCTTTCTAGTGCACATTGTGTTTATCATCTGAAAGAAGGTCACTGAACAATGCATTTGCCTTGACTTGGTCGATAGATTCATTTATTATTCAAGAGTAACTTTTAGTGTAGAACAACTATAGTGGGCAGTAACTGTTGATGTTAGGTCTTTGATATTGGCTAATGTGAGCTGACAGTCTATGTGACACAGGAAAAACAATGGCCTATTAGAGCTCAAAATTCAACAATTCCAATCAAGTTAAAGCAAAGTAACCTTCGGTAACCTATATATATATATATATATATATATACACACTTCATGTATATAAATTACATAGCATTTTTTTCTGCAGTAAGGCTTTAGATTTGAAAAGAAAGATGAGAGCATCTTTCAGAAAACTGAGGGATCACTTCACTCACAGAAAATTACTCCTGTGCTGTAATAAAGGCAACTAGAATTGACTTCAATGACATTTTGAACAACATCACACCGGCTGCTCAGCGTGGCTCTGCATTGAACTGACACTGAATGACACTGTTCTGTTTGCTGGAGAAACATGTGCACTTGACAAAAGTCATTCCTGACTGAGCAGCCTCTGGGAGACAAATAATAATTCTGAGCAAAACACAAAAACAGCTGTACTGGACACGGACCAGCATTTCAAAGCAAATCCGTTATCTGTCCAATGAAATGTATTTTGACTGTGAAATGCCACAATTTTGAAAAGCACTTAACCAAGTGAGCCGTTATAAATCAGTGATTCACATGAGACAGGTGTTGTTTGTATCCATTATTGTTCAAAGTGAGATTGTTTTTTTGTCAAAGAACACATTTTGCACAAATTTCTGCAGTATTTTTGGTTTGTACATAATATTTTCGTCTCAATTTTCTCGCTATCTCAACTTACCAAACTTTTTCTTGTGATCTTGACTTAACATTTCTCAGATCAACTGCGAACAATATGTGGCATGTAGAAAAGTTAGGTTACTTCCAGAACAAGAGAAAACAACATGTGTGGTGTTGAGATTACCAGAAAATAAAGTTTAAAACAAACAAACAAAAAAGTTTTTATAAGTTCTGTTAGTTCGTTCATTTCCAAGTTCTGAAAGCCATCACGGGTGTTAAAACAAGCCTCAGTGAAGTATTTTAGTTTTTGAAACCTTCCACTCACACTTCACTTCACCGTACTTGGAGGGCTCAGTCTCTGGCAATAACAAACTGTCACCTGTCCTATCAAGATCTTCTGTGGACTTCTCCAGCAAATGAAAATGTAACTCGACAGGCAGCTCAATTTCGTTCCCAGTCTCCTGTGGATGGCATGCACTCCAGTGCTTTTCACAGTTCACTGAATGGAGAGCAAAAGTGGCAGTCACCTGATATCTGGAACGGGTAGCGTATTGTCAGAGATGCCTGCTTTCACCTTCTAATGGCCCCTTGGACAGTTAAGTTTCTGTGAGAGAAGACCTTCCATTCAATTGCACCACAAAAAGTGGTGCTGTCAAGCAATCCCAGCAGAATAGAAAATTGCCACATTTATTTCATATTGTAATGTTTTTAACAAGCGTATCCCTAACAAAGGCCCTCAGGACCCCATGTTTGGTGTAGAAAAGAGGAAAAATTTGGTACAATCCAGGCATCTAGTTTGTTTAATATCAGCAATTCTGTAACAAACGTCCATTCAAAGTATTAAACTTGTACATTTAATTTCCGTCACCTTAAGTAATGATAAGTAATGTCATATTAATTAATTACCAACCAGACTGTTTTGACCATTTCAGCTAAAAATGGAAAACTTTTTATGCATTTTGGCCGTTCATTTACATTACAACAAAATTTGAAAACCATTATCGTCTCTGTGTAAACTACGAAAACTTGAAATTGTGAAAACTTTGATGTCATGCACATGCGTATTATGTGTTAAGTCTATAGGAATGCATATGTGCTCGGGCTCTGATGAATTCAGTGATTCATCAGACTGTTTTGACCGTTTCAGCTAAAAATGGAAAACTTTTTATGCATTTTGGCCGTTCATTTACATTACAACAAAATTTGAAAACCATTCCAGACTGTTTTGACCATTTCAGCTAAAAATGGAAAACTTTTTATGCATTTTGGCCGTTCATTTACATTACAACAAAATTTGAAAACCATTATCGTCTCTGTGTAAACTACGAAAACTTGAAATTGTGAAAACTTTGATGTCATGCACATGCGTATTATGTGTTAAGTCTATAGGAATGCATATGTGCTCGGGCGCATAGTGTTTCTTTAGAAAGAGACATCGCCAACTACTGGCCTGGCATGCATAATACAGTGCTTTTAGTAGTTTTTGCGTATCCGTGTGAATGGGGATGTTGTTTTGACAACATTGTCATCTGTACACAAAACTTTTCGAAAACATAAAGGAAAAACATTTCTGGTTTTTAGTGCGACCGTCGTGTAAACATGCCCTGAGTTCTTCTTTTTTTGTGTATATCTTATACTAAATTTGTTTCACTAAGTCCCATATCAATGAAACTGCATTCATAATGGGGTTCAGCTAGACTAGGTGCAGCCAAACCTGATAACTGCGAGCCTAGTTCAATAAAATCACCACTTAAATAGAACTTTTCAACAGCGTGGAGTTGATTTCAAGGTCTTACAACCCATTATGCCAAAGGTGAAAGAAGTTCCAGAAACCATGAAGAGGAAGGTGATTGAAATACATCAGTCTGGGAAGAGTTACAAAGCTATTTCAAAGACACTTTGACAAAGAACCATAGTGAGAGCCATTATCTCCAAATGGAAGTGTCCGACCTTCTAAAAGTCCTCTAAGTGCACATTGACGATTGATCCAGGGAGTCACAAAGAAACAAGGACAGCATGGAAGGAAGTGCAGGCCTCTTTTGGATCAATTAAGGTCACTATTTATGACTCCACTCCATTCAAAAGACACTGGCCAAAAATCGCATCTGTGGAAAACAGGTGATGTGAAAACCACTGCTAACCCAGAAGAACACAAAGGACCAGATTTACTAAACAAGGCAAATTAGTGCAAGAGCGCGAATCAAAAAAAAAAAAAGCACCAATGAGAGTGGAAAGTTTTGGTGATCAGGTGATCTACTGACAATGCGAGAAATAAAGAAGACATGCAACATCTAATTTCCATAATGACCAATACAATCCTCCTAGATTGCACCACTCTGTGGTGCCTCTTCCTGGCAGCAACAATTGCAGCCATGTCAAGTGCAAAATGGGTGAAGACATGCTTATTTGGGGGTGGTAAATAATGACACAAATACCATTATACTGACTACCGCAAACCTTAGTAAATCATGTTGCATGATTAATTTAAATACTCTTCTCCCATAAATTTTGCGTCTGAAAGGAAATATGCAATATGCATTAAAGCCAGCCACAAAAAATAACTGTCCACACCTTTTCATCACTAATTTTTAATTGTGCGTCTTTAGTAAATCCTGACAGTACTTTTTTTAATGGCAAAAGAGGATTTGCACTGGCACAAGCTGTTAGTAAATCTGGCCCCAAGTCTTGTCTGAATTTTGCCAAAACACACTTTGATCATCCTCAGACATTTAGAGAAAATGTTTTGTGGACTGACGAGTTGAGAATGGAACTGTTTGGAAGACAGGGGTCCCGTTAAATCCAGCATAAACCAAGCAACGAATTCCACAAAAAGAATATCATACGTATGACCAAGCATGGTGGAGGCAGTGTGCTGGTGTGGGGAGGCTACGCTGTTTCAGGGCCTAGGCAACTTGCAGTACTTGAAAGGAAACATGAATTCTGCTCTCCAGAAAATCCGAAAGGAGAATGTCCGGTCTTCAGTTTCCAAGTTCAAGCTCAAGCGCGACTGGATTATGCAGCAAGACAATGATCTCAATTGGCAGGACCTTAAACGGGCAGTAAACGGACAGAACTAATGCAGCTCTGCAAAGACAATGGGTCAAAATTCTACCACAGTGCATGAGAGACTGATCTCTTGCAGGTTGCCTTTGTTTTATGTTGTATTTAGTTTGAAGATCTGAAACTATACTGTATGAAATATATACACAAAAAAACCCTCCGAAAAATTAGGATGGGGCATATATGTTTTCACAGCACACAGAACAACTTTGCCAACCATAGAAAAAACACCCAGAAATAACTGTGACACAATTT